TGTAAACAGTGTTTCTCAAGGTAAGTTATAAATTTCTTCTTTTTGGAACGTCTGGTTGTCCTGCTCACGGATTCATCCCTTCAGCCTGGCTAATTCTGCGTACTCTACCATCTTTGTTTGCCATTCCTTGTTAGTTGACAGATCTTGATGTTTCCATCCTTCAGCTTTCAAAACTCTGGCCACCGTTGTCGCATACAGAAATAGTTTTCCATCTTATTTTGGTATCTCATCCCCAACCATTCCTAAAAGAAATGCCTCTGGCCTTTTAGGGAATGTATATCTAAACATTTTTTTTATTCATTGTATATACTGTCCCAAAATGCCTTTGTTTTTTTTACACAGCCACCACATGTGGTAAAAATCACCATCCTTATCTAAACATTTCCAGCATTTTTTACTTCTAATCCTGTACATTTTTGCCAACTTGGTTTGGGTGAGATACCATCGATACATCATTGATACACAAGACCATACTTTTATATATATATCAACAAGGTAAGTTGAGAAGGTTATAGGCATTTATTTCAAGTCGTATACAAATTAGTCTTCTCTGTTCCAGATCCACCCACTGGTTCCATTCTTGTGTTCTCTTCTGCATGTCTACCACAAAGCCCTGGCATGACAAAGAGGGTCATGCTCTGAGAGGTGCTTTGAGCTCATGCATGGCACTGGTTTGGTTTGTTGGGCTTCAGCATTTGCTGTATCCAAACTGACAGCATGGGCTTAAACCCATACAGTAAAGTGGTTATAGTAGGAATCAAGGTGTTCCTTGAGTTTGGTACACAAAGAGAAGCAGTTTTGAGAAACACTAGCAGAGTGGGGGATTCAACATTGTGCAAGGCGATTGTCCCATCGGGACAAACCTTTTGACTGCCAGATGGAATGATCCCCCTCTCCTCCTCCTGTGCACTGTTCCCTGTGCACCCCCTCCTCAAGTCAAATGGAAAGAGGGGGAAAGCCCCATTTTGCAAATGGATGTTCTTATGCAGGGCTTCTGCTGATGGGACTCATGAAACCTAGGGCAGCAGACATATTTAGTGCAGTTGTAGAAGGCAAGGGGGGGGGGAGCAATGAAACATTGCCATGTGGGATTTTCCTTTCCCCTCCAACACAAAGGTCACATCTATGTCAACATTTAAAGCA